GTACAGCAAACAAGCTTGGATTCTGAAATGTTGGTGAAAATTCACCTTGAAAAGATTGGATTTTTGCTAAGTGCCCTCTTTTGGGACATTCTGGGGTCCTTCCAGACCACATTCAAGCTCCTCCACCTTTTACTGTGCAGAGCCAATGTTGGGTGGCCAAAGAGAAGTAGACTCAGTGGAGTTGGCAGCATACAGGATGTTTTCAATTTGAGTCACATGAGTGAGCTTGTCTGGTGTGTAAGAAAGTTTGCTCACACCAAACATTTTGTGGAATTTGAACTGTTTGACCAGAGCTTGTGATTTGTATTATTTCAGGATGCTTTTGAAAATATAGTCTGGGGTTGATTCAGGTTGATGTTAGTAGAGTTCTTGACAAATTCAATAGAAGACCCACATATCGATTACCGGGGTTTCTAAAAAAAGGCTATGGCTTGGGAGCTTAAGGGGAGTATGCACTTAACTCCAGAATTTGGCTGGTGCTCATGTTGTGGACACTCTCTCTTATTGAGGGGCACTGTCACACCTAGGTGCGGACAACTGACTTCTTGATGGGTGTGCACCTAGTGCAAAAAATAGCTAAACAACTTGTCCTCACCATCAGAAACACTCAGCATGGTTCCACAATGCAGCCAGGCATTTGAACTCCTCAAGCTCTTCAATTCTGAAAAATCAACTGATATGAGTTTCAAGATGTTGGTCATTGTGAATTTCAATTTTGCATTTGGGAGCAGGTTGTCTGGCATTTGGCATTTATCTTTTTTTTTATCTGAGCACAAGTGATGGTTTGACTTGCAATATCATCTTTGAGTGAGTTTGAGTTGTTTAAATGTGAGACCTACTCTTGGTCAATTGCTGACATAAATTCTGGGATACAAATTAGAAACCCAGAACTTGTTCAAGTTTTCCAACTTGGACTTGTTGGCTGTACTTGCCTGTTTGCCTGGTTTCCCAGTTTCTCAACTTCAGCCAAAAAGTGTGAGTTGGGAAACTTGGACAAGTACATTCACAATGAGGCAGCATCTCTAGTAGCCTTGATCTTGTGAGTGTACGACTATGCCGTACAAATACACCTATGGTGTACTTTCTTTATCAAGAATAGGCAGCTGTTATAGGACAGCCCTAACCTCTGATATTGCATAAGTGTGACTGTTGGAAATATGTGTATGCCATACAATCAAGTATGGTGTGCGTGGGGTAGGGGGTTTATTCACCGTCACTTCTAACAGCATCCAGAAAGGGAAGGTACATGACTCTCCGCAGGGAACCTGAGGATGCCGGAACATGCCTGTGAAGGTAAGGGGAATAAAACTCTGACACACAAAAACAACAAACAAAACCCCAGGAGAGAACACAAGGGGGAGTGATACACCCTGAGTGTTCAACCTCCTGGAGTGTGTGACACACAAAGAAATATGTAGGGAGGGTGGGAGGACCAAAAAAGACAAGATCAGGAAGCTAGAGAAACAGCAAGGGGGTCGATGAGATTTGATCCTAACCAGAATCAAAGTTGGAAACAAAAAAATTGAGATGGGGGAAAGAGGATCTCAGGGAGCTGTCTCCTATATCTCTGAAGGCATCCAGGCCTCAGCCAAGGATCATCAGCACATGCTCATCCTCCTGGCACTGATGGCTGCTTATCCAATCCTTTGGTTACTTAAGCAGCCAATGTCCATGTGGTGAGATAAGCTGAGGTCTGGGATGTTGATGACACACTACACAAGTGCGGGCATGGACAGGAGTAACCTCCCTTGTGCCTTGTACGGGTACTAGTTATTCTGGGTTATTACTTTGTATCCCATAAATAGACATGGAGGGACTTTTGACCCCCGGCATGAGGTACCAGCTCATGCAGCTGGATGGCACACAAATAGACCCAGTTTGTGGTTTGTATGCTGGTAAGGTATGGTGCATCTGAAGTTTACTTGGCTTTCTGTCCATACATGACTTGCAGTGAGTAGATTGTGCAAGTTGGCAAGCTTGCACAAGATTGTGCATGGCCAACATCAAGAGTCCTGTTCAGCCAAACAAACATGTGTGTATCAGGCAGGAAATTTCCAGAAGTGTTTCCCCAGAACACCAGAAGTTTTTTTTTTTGGGTGTGTTCTGAATTTGTAGTATTCTGAAGCTTAGAATAACCAACACTGTATGTTTTCCAGAAGAGCAGGAGGCTTTGGGTGTTCTGGAAAAAGATGACTGGAAATTTCTAGAACAAAAACTTTGTAGACCCTAATTGATGATGATAGATTGTAGCATTATAGTGACCTGGTGTATCTTAATCTATAGTTCAGACTAGATTTATCTCTAGATTGAGGTAAACTGATGTCTTATAAACGATTATCTCATGTTAGAGCTCTTCTGGAATAGAAACAAATGCCATCTGATTTTTTAATATCAACCAAAGAAGAACTTGAATGATTTTAAATGATGTTGATTGGTTAATTTGGTTTGCTTTCCAATGAAAATTTAACACTCTCCAAATGTCTTCTCATCTCGTCTCAATCAAACACGAGTTTTGAGATTTAAAGATTTATGAATTTGAAGAAGATTGGTCATTTTGGGATAAAAGAATGAGGATCATTTCACATATCAGTCTTTTGGGTCATATCTGATTTTCTCCTTGTTAACAGATCTGAGAGTCACTTCAATTGATCAAGGATCTCATCATTCTGAATACTGCAAACACTTTTGGATGTTAACAATAATCATCCAACATATCATCCTTCAGATTATCAAGCCGAATTATATCTGAATGAACAGAGGCAGCAGGGAAGAGTGATAAGAAGATCCTAATGATGATTGAAATTATGGTGAATCTTCCTTGGGTTTTTGAATGTATGAATGAGGTTTTACTGAAGTGAAGAAGAAGATGAATTGGTGAATAAATCAATTTGAAAGGATCGAAGTGTGTGTTTCTGTTACATACAACCGAAGTTGAACCAGATCTTCTTCCTCCTCCGTTCCTTTATCTCGGTTTCTGCTAGATTTCCTTTTTTTTTCTTTGTCAATCGAATCGAATCGAATGAAAAGTTTTCAAGGGGAATCGAAAGAGTTGGTTACAAGTTGGGTGACTGGTCAACCGATTTCTTTATTTTGACTTATACCATCATCGCTTTTATCACCAATCAACAGACTTTAATGGTTAGAAATCGATCAAAGTTTGATTTCATTTTTGATCATAAAGGATTGATTGATGGAACAACGGTAGGTAGGTTATCACTCTTCAATAAATACCTTTGATTGATCATAGTCTTGGATCGATAACCCACCCATCTCATCTCATCTCATCTCATCTCATCGTATAGAGTCAAATAAATCAAATCATCACTAATCTACCTTTCTACTTACTTAAATAACAACATTCTGCTTAAAAGTTTGGATTCACTACCACTTCACTCGACTAATTTCATCTCAACCAAACCTATAACAAATCAACCACCATCAACTAATCTGATTTAATCAAATCCTGTACCTTTTTTTCTCTTCCCTTTACCCCAATCAATTCTACCTTACAATCATTCGCATTTCAACACACTACATACTCACTCAATTAATCTTCTCATCCTCACTTTTGGATCGCATTGGCTTCTTCATCAAAAAAAGACTTTCATACCAAACAAACACTTTATAACTCATTCACATCCAAATCTATCATCTAAATCTTCATCTTTTCAAACTTAGCACCACTACCAAAGCTTTGATTGGTTTCGGATTTAAATCTTTAATAACTTTTTCAATCTAAGCTTTACTTTGTTGGTCTTACATATATATATCATCCATTCTCCGTGCTGAATTTCTTTGATTCTTTGTAAGTCACCAACCCATTTCTTCTTTAACCAAACATTATGGATTTGGTTTTCTGATCTTAACTTGATGGATTTTCATTGGTTTCTTTTCTTAGCGACTATTTTGAAAGGTTTTTTTAACAAAGGAACCACTCCCAAATTCGAAATGGAATCAATTCACACTTCTTTATACTCTGATCTTATTCACCAAGGTATGTGTAATTTGTTAATTTGTTTTGTTTTGCTTTGATGATCACATAAATGATTTGATGATTTGATGATTTCGATTCGATAGATACACCTAACCAACAGATTGAGAATCCAAACCAATCGATGGAAGCTGATCCAAATCTTCAAGAAGCTTCTCATCATCATTCCAAGATCTTAACATGGAATCTCAATCCAAGCTCATCATCAAGTGTATTATCGATTGAGACGGGTGATCGAAAGCCCAACCCGAAATCGATTTTAGAGATCATCTCACCTAAATCGACGTCTACTCAATTCGATTCTCAACTAGATCCATTCGAATTCTTTGGACAACAACGAAGTCAATTCATTCAACGTGATTTGATTCAATCCAATTCACATCCTAATCTGATTCAAGAAAATCAATCAGTTGATCAAACCCCAAAGCTCATCCATCATGAATATAATGATGTGGATTTATCATCACCTACTTTAGTGGAAGACTCCATCAAATATCAACTAGATGATTTAACTAAATCCTTTCAAACATCTACTCAACTTTTTCATTCTGATTTACACACACCAATCCAATCATTTAAAAAGTTTAAACCATTAAGATTACATTCAAGACTGATGAACCAATCTTCTAAGGATGCTCAGGAGGACGAAGGGATTCCAAGATCATGTTTAAGTACAAACCAAGCTTCAGATGAACAGATGAAAGAGTTCTTATCACCTTCTTATTCGATTGAAGAAGAGAACCAAAAAGTGAAGATTATAATTTCTCAAGAAATCCAACTTTCATCTAATCTTAATCCGCTGTTGAGTTTCAAAGGAGAACCGATTTCGAATTTGATCAAATCTAATTCATTCACAACACCTTTGATGTCTCGTAAACGAAAACAATCTGATATGATGGATGAAGCCGATGATGATGATCATGTTTCAGGTCGAATTAAGATTTCCAATCATTCCAAAAAACATCAACCAGCGTCTTTCAAAGTCAAGTCGAATGTGAAGGCTTTGATTCCTAGTTTGGCTGAACTTAGGGCTACTATGCCTCCTAGTTCTAGAAGATATTATCAACCTCCTATGACACCTACTAAGCAATCATGATCTTCAAATTCCAAGATTTCATCAAGACTGAAATCATCATTAAGCTTTTTGTGTGTGTGTTTTTTGGTTTGGACATTAGATGTACTTTTATGGGTTTGGTTAATAGTATCTTTTCCCTGATCGTTTTCATTCTTGTGTAACCAGTGTGGATCCTCTTTACATATCATTTTCAATCAATCAAATCTACATATATCTTTTTCTTTTCTTTTTTTTCACAAATCTATCAGTTTGTATGAATCCCTTTTTTTGTTTTCTATTGTAGTATCTTTTTTTTCTATAGTAGTGTCTTTTTTCTCTATAGTCACTTTTTCTCTATAGTAGTGTCTTTTTTCTCTATAGTCACTTTTTCTCTATAGTCACTTTTTTTCTATAGTCACTTTTTTTCTCTATAGTAACTTTTTTCTCTATAGTACTTTTTTTCTCTATAGTAACTCTTTTCTCTATAGTAACTCTTTTCTCTATAGTAACTTTTTTCATACATGTACCTTCCAATTTCTCTTTCAAAAGAACAAAACAAAAAATCATAAAACCATTTTGTTTTTCTCTATAAAATACATGATTAAAATTTCACTTGACTTCATTTTTTTTCAATTTGGTCAAGTTTTTTTTTGACTTAAAATCAAACACGTAGACAATTACACAGTTTTTTTCTTTTTTTTGTAAAGTGAAAACGTAAGGAAACTTTTTAAATCCTTTTACATACGTAATGAAAAAAAACACATATGAACTTTGGATTTGGATATACTTTTTGAGAATAGGAAGTTTACTATGATTTGAGAAATGTTGAATTGGATTTGGGAGTCAAGTTTGTACATTGATTTGTAGAGTGGTGTCAAGTAGCTGTATCTCCTATATATTTAAAACTATAACTCTAGATGGCTATAGGAAAAATCTCGTCAGGTCCAATCTACCTACAGCAAGAGCTTGTGTGGTAAGGTGAGGGGTAAAAATATAAAGTAAGGAATGATTTTCTTGCTATGATTTAGTACCCCTGGGCCTGATGAGTCATGACAAGAGTATATAGGCTTGAGGAGGAAAAAGTCCTCAACTCTGGGATGGAGGGCGGGTTTTTAAAAGGATTTTCTAAAATATCAGAAAGAAAGAAGAGAATGAGAGAGCAACTTTGAGGGACGAGACTTGGTAGAAATATCAACAAGGTTAATTGACAAAAAAAAACCGAGTTTATGAAATCGGGAGTCGGACCGATTGAGTCTTAAAACTTTGAGTTGTAAATCGGAGCCGAGTTTTCGAATCGGACCCGAATTGTGTTTAAACCAAACCATCGGTACAGCGATCACTCTATCCCACCCTCCTTTCTCCCTTGTGACTCTGGTAGACGTTAGGACATAGGGGGTCAAGAGGGGGATACAAAATCCCTGAGCTCTGTGAAGCGCGCAATCAACTTTGTGTTTCATGCAATAAAAGGGAAAAAAAGACCTGAATTTGCATTGAATGTCATCCGATTGACATCTCAGTGAAATACAGTACCCCAATTAAAACCTCAATAAATTTCCAATCACTTCAATCTCATCAACCAAAAGAAAAAAAACACAACTTCAGTTTAAAGTAAAATACAATCCAACTTGAATATAAATACCTAAACAAACGAAAAAAAGTTCATCAAGTCATCATGACTAAACCAACATCAGAATTAAATCAAAGAAAATCAGTTAAAGATTCAAATGGGATTGCAAATTATACTAAATTTTGGAAATCAGATTCAAATCAAGATAATCAATCAGATCATCAAAAAAGAATCGATGAATATGAAAACGTAACGAATTCATACTATGATGGTGCAACTGATTTATATGAATATGGTTGGGGTAAAGTAAGTGATCTGAAGACCGATTCTTAAAACCAAAAGGTTTTGATGATTAATAATGTTTTTCTTCTTTGTGTGTGTGTGGTGGTGGGTTTAAAGAATTTTCATTTCGCTAGATATTACCCTGGTGAATCATTTTATCAAGCCATTGCAAGACACGAACACTTTTTAGCATCAAAGATTGGATTAAAACCCGGTATGAAAGTCTTAGATGTAGGTTGTGGAGTCGGAGGACCAGCACGAGAGATACATAGGTTTAGTGAAGTGAAAATCATTGGAATCAATAATAATCAATATCAAATCAATCGAGCTAAAAAGTATAATTCAGATGTAAAGATTTCGGAAGATCAAATCGAGTTTGTTAAAGGTGATTTTATGAAACTGGTTGAACAGTTTGGTGAAAACTCTTTTGATGCTGTTTATGCTATCGAAGCTACTTGTCATGCTCCAACTTGGGAAGGTGTTTATGGTGAGATCTTTAAGGTTTTAAAACCGGGTGGGGTCGTAAGTCTTCATCTTGAATCTAATCCATTTTCCCATCCTTGTTTTATATACTTAAATTAATCTTCTTTTTGATCTTTTTTTGGTTTTTTTTGGTTTAGTTTGGAATGTATGAATGGTGTATGACGGATGAATATGATAAAACGAATCCAGAACACAGAAAGATTAGTCATGGCATCGAATTAGGAGATGGAATAGCCGAAATGAGAACCATCAAAGAAGCAAGATCAGCCTTAAAATCAGTAGGATTCGAAATCCAAGTCGAACAAGATTTAGCTGATGTAGGTGATGAGATCCCTTGGTTTTATCCTTTACGTGGTAATTTAAGTGAATGTCAAACTTTATGGGATTATGTGATGGTCTTTAGAATGACTTGGATGGGTAAAGTCATCACTCAGAGTACTGTAAAGGTTTTAGAATTCTTGGGAATGGCTCATAAAGGTACTTTTGAAGTCGGTGAAGCTTTGAAGGTCGCGGCTGATGCTTTAGTGGCTGGTGGTGAAAGTAAATTGTTTACTCCAATGATGTTGGTAAGTCGATTTTTCTTTCTCAATCTTTTGTTCGTCTTGACTTATACTTTGCTGTTTGATTCCTTGGTTTAGTTTGTTTCTAAGAAACCAGAGAATTAGATTTGAATCACCAAACTTTGAACTTTTTCAGTCTTTTTGGCTTAATCAATCAAATCTCGATATTCAATCTCTTTATGGATTCTCTCTACTCATACCTTCACTTCATTTCATTCATTTATAAATATACTCTACTGATCAATAATGGATTTGTATTGTTCATTCATTGGTTATCAAAGATTGAATGACAAAAGAAGAATGTAAAGACTTGATATTTTTTTTTGGATGATTTTTACTTTATTTTCTTCTTTAACTCTCAATGTTTTCTTTCCTTATTCTTGATCTTGAACATTTCATTGATTAATTCTTGGTATATCATATCAATCATTCAGAATGATTTGATCAAGTTGGAAATTGTTTGGATTTAAATTGTGATCGATCGATTTTATGAATTATTATTCTCATGAATCCTCACCTTCAAATCTCATAGTTCACTCAAAACTAAGCAACTCGAGCATGTTTCTTCAATTTTAAGTATATCCCCACATTTGACTTTCAGTTAAATCACATCGCTTGAAATTGAAAACAAAGTGAAAATAAAAAGAAGACCTTCAAAAATATAAGGTCATATCAGGATGATGAGTCTAAAACCTCGAACAAAAATCAAACTTCTTCTCTGACTACATAGCTAGTTCTCTGCTCATATTCTTCGTTCTTCAAAGCACATCTAAAACATGAAGAAAAAGAAAACCCCATGATTCACATTAATCAACGTCCAGCCATACCAGAAATCCCAGCGGCTTCTCTAATTCTAGCAATATCACTAGCCGATAACCATTCCTTACTAGCAATAAACCAATGTTCCCACATCTGTCTTGCATTCGATTCACCCGGTCCATAAGGACCAAACTGTTGAGTCAAGAAATCCTTCAAGTCTACCCAAAATTCGTTTTTAGTCACCAAGGATCTAAAGGATTCCGAGATACCAGTATGAGGTGAATGAGATGCATTGGTATGAACTGAACCTGATCTAGATCTAGCAATGATCGGAATCTCTCCCATTTGACCTCCATCATTTTCCATGGTGATCTTTGGAATGTTCATCGGTACAGGAGGGTTGGGAGAACGTTGAGAAGTATCAGAAGTGGATGATGATAAGATATTGGCTTTTGGAGTCGTTGGATCTTCTGATTCGGTTGGGTTAGAAGCCGTTAAGGCTGAACTAGGAGTCATACTGCTGGCTTTGATCATCAGATGAATCGTTTCGTTGGGTTTGATGGAATCGTATTCTTTCAAAAGTTTGTTATCTGCCAAAGCTTTTCCTTTGTATAACCAACGTTGAGAATCTAGAGATGGTGCTGTACTGTTGGATTTGATTAATTGTTGTTTTAATTCGGCAATGGTTGAAGTAGGTGAACAAGTCAAATTGAAGACCAGAGCTGGTTTTAATGACTTGATGGTCAAAGGGATAGGTTCTGTGAAGATTAAGAAATGAAGTATTAGTGAAAGAGTTATGAGATATGATCGAAAAAGAACTAACCTGATGAAGAACTATCGGTGGTAGTGGAATTGAAATTAGGTTCAGGAAGTTCAGCCAAGGGAATCTGATGAGAGATGAATAAAAGCAAAAATAGGATAAAAATCAACAGGACGATCGAGATGATGAATTAAGAAAGCAAAACGTCAATAAGTTTCAGATTAGTAAGATTAATAAAGTTATGATGATCTTTCAACGGTTTTTAATCGAATCACCGTGGAATGGAAAGAAAGAATGAAAAAGACAGGTTCCAAAGAAGTCTTACCTGAGGAATATTAACTTTTCTTGGTCTTTGATTAGTTGGTGAACTATAATCATGATTTAATTTTAATGATTGATTTGAGATTGCTTGTAAATGTCGTTTGATCGCATTGATTTCTTCATCTAATTTTTGACCTTGTAGAACTACGTCCATTTTGATTGTTTATTTCAATAGAACACTTGTCTTTTGTGTGTTTGTTTAGTGAAGTGGAGTGAAGTGAAGTGATTTGATTAGTTTGATGGTTTTCTGTTCGATGTCGATGTCGTGGTGGTGGATGTTGCACAGCTTGAAGTGGGTGGATTGGGATTTGAGACCACTTCGGGGCCAAGAGCGGTACCGACACGTTTACAAAGAATAGATCATTGACTGTGACATTGGGGCTCTTTAAAACCACTCTCATATCTTCATACTTTCATCAAAACCTCATATGACTTTCAATCACTTGGAAAAACTAGCTTATCTTCTTTTTTCATAGAAGAAGATGGGAACAAAATATAACAAAATAGATAGTAAAAAGATGGTTTTACAAAGCTATGGATAAATCTTATTCTGTATGTTTCTAATAGAGGTTGAGGAGTTTTATGCATCTTTGAGCCAACTCTTTTGACCATCACCAAGTTTCAACTTCAGCACAAATTAGATATATATCTTTCCAAACTTGACTACCACAAATTGCAATACCCTCAGATATTGTCGTATAAACCATCTGGATGGGCTGAATAAGAGGAATTTATCAAAAGTTCATCTTTTAGGGAGCCTCACATCCAAATTATGGAATTAACAAAATTCCTCATCAAGATCTATCTATGAGGAATCCAACTAGAACCTTTTCAGATCTTAATTGTTCATTTCTTTTTCAAGCAACCGTCAAGGAGTTTTGCAGTTACAATGTTTTCATCCTACAATCACTTTTCATTAACATTAATAGGACATGGCAAAACTGAGCAAGCTACCGTCGAAGACAACGTCAGATGCTCTATCATGTCATTGAGCTACTGAGCTATCATCTTTGATTAAAAAAATGAACTTAAAAACATCAGGAATGGGCGATCAGCTCAAGATCTGTAAGAACAACAAAAAGGGAGATAAACAAACTCAAACTCACAGTCTTTGTATCATGCCTTCTTCTTATCCGGACGACGTTGCTGTTTGGGTGCCCGGCTCATAGGTTTCTTGATAGATCGTTTGAGTGGTTTAGACTTCACAGCTTCAATCTTCTTATCAACTTCTTGTCCAGCAATCTTGAGTTTCAACTTAGCTTGTTTCTTAAGGATTCTTCTTTCTACTCTAGCAGGTGTACTCATCTTGATGGATTTCCTTTCATCTTTAGTTTTCGATTTAAGTGCCTCAGAAAGATCTGGACCTTTATAAATCGCAGGAACGTCTCGTGTAAGATCAAGTTTAACTCGTTTGCTTGGTTTTTCGTGTTTATCGTTTGAAGTGGAAGTTGATGGTGTTTGGATTTGTTGACCTAACTTTTTGAGGGCTGAACATTTACCTGGAACAACATACTTTTGTACTCGGACTTTACGTTTTCCAATCTTGAAAGACTCTAGTGCTAACATCTCTTCGACTGCATCTTTTGACTATATAAATCAATGCATCCAAAATCAGCATTGCACTCAATTTAGGACCAAGTATATTGATCATGATCTTCAAAAGTCGAAAACGTACATACTTTAAGTAACACATACCCAAATCCTTTACCAAGTGAAGTTCCCTTATCTCTCACAAGTCGAACTCGCTCTACCCATGTCCCACCATCAGAAGGAGGGCCTTCCTTTTCAGCCGTCAGTTGGGCTTCAACAGCTTTTCGAACAGTGTCCTCGTGCTCCATGAAATCTAGGCCACCGATATACAGCGTCCGACGCTGCTCTCCAAAATCGATGATTTGCGCGTCGTCTGATCCATCTTGAGAGATACGCCGGGCTCCAGCCAGATCACATCGAAGGACATGTCCCATAAAACTTGTAGCGTCACTCTTTTCGCTGATCAACTTGGCAAGCTCTTGCGCGGTCAGTGAAGAACCATCTTCTTCGGATTGTGAAGATTCGGGTGGTGGTGAGATGACCAAGTAGGCAACACAAGATTTGGCCTCTGGATGTAAATCGCCAGTCACATAGCCTACTTTGCGTTTCTGGTTCGGGGTAAGATACTGCACTTCTGGAAGTGTGGCTGTTCCTGTTTCATCAAAGGCTGTCTTGGCTCCTCTTCGACCTACCCTACCACCTTCAGGATTGTCCAAAGTAGGTTTCCCAGATGGATCAGCGTGTGACGAATTTTGAGTCTCCCGCCATGTTTTGGACCGTTTTTCTGATCGGTTTTCAGGTTGTTGTTCACGGCTGACGATGGGTGTCGCTAGAGGGATTCCACGGAAACGATAAGATTCTATGCGTGAGCGTGGCGCCAGGGGTTCGGACTCTGATTCAGGATTCAAGAGATGATCGATCAAGTCACGCGCAAGAGCCTAGAGTGATTTAAGATCATATTATTATCGATTCAAAAAAACTTTTTAAAACACAAGATGAAATAGGCCTCACTTTATTCTTGACACAGTCTACGTTGACATTTCCGACGAAAACAGTGCGCAAGTTACGCTCTTCTGGAGTTTCGTTTAGAATGCTTGGTCGAGTTTTTCGAGTACGCTGATGTGAGTTAGGAGCAGAATTTTTTCGAGAAAGAAGGGTCTCATGGACAAGGTTGGATACAGATTCGTCGTCATCATCATCATCTAACTCTTGTCCGGTTTCTTCATCAGAAGAAACATTGCCCGAGATAATGGCTCGAGATTTGGTGTTGGTTGAGGTGGTCGATGGGGCTGCTCGTAAAGATTGTGCAAAGCGTTGAGCTTTTTGTAAGGCCGAACGAACCTCTTCAGAAGTTCCGGTATCTGGGCGTTCGTCTGACTCGACGACGGGGTTGGGTTGCTTTGAAGATAAAGTTGAGGTACGAGGGAGATTGGTGTTTGTGGAAGGGTTTTCTGCTTTTTTGGCTGTAGGCTTGGAGGAGGTCGCATTTTGCGTTGTTCGTATATCGGGTACAGAAGCTGGCAGAAAAGCCTGACAGGAGATACAAATGATATAGCATCAAACATGTTAATTTGAGATCGCAAAAAGGTTAAAAGATTATGTTCACTCACCGATGATTTGAAAAGAGTATCGAGTTCACTATCTACAACTTTTTCACTCTCTTTCTTGCCTAAAAGAAAATCTGGAGTCTCGATCTTGGGTACATCTGCCACTTTGGAATCTGATTTCTTCTTCGTCTTCTTCTTTTCAGTATTGAGTTCGTTATCTAACACCTTGACACTCTCTTCCTTACCTGAAGGTAAATCTGATGGCTCGAGGTTGGGTGCGTCTGCCGAGTTTGAGTCTATTTTCTTCTTCTTCTTTTTCTTTTCAGTATTGTTTCCGTTATCTGCTACTTTGGCACTTTCTTCCTTTTGTAAAACAAGATCTGGAGTCTCGATATCGGGTACCTTTTCCACCTTTGAATCTGTTTTTGACTTCTTCTTTTTCTTTTCGACTTTGTTTCCGTTATCTACTACTGTAATACTCTCTTCCTTTCCTAGAGCAAGAACTGAAGTGTCGACATTGGGTGCGTCTTCCACTTTTGAATCTGATTTCTTTTTTTTCTTTTTCTTTTCAACATTATTTTCCTTTTCCACTGCTTCGACATTGTCTTTCTGGTCTAATTTTGAGACCTCGATTTTGGGTACGTCTTCCACTTTTGAAACTGACTTTTTCTTCTTCTTTTTCTTTTCAACGTTGTCTTCGTTTTCTACTGCTTTAACATTCTCTTTCTCTTCAACATTCTCTTTTTTGCCCGAGTCTGAAGTCTCGAGCTTAGACACATCTACCACTACTGAATCCAATTTCTTATTTTTCTTCTTCTTTTCCTGAGAATCGGGTTGATTTTTTGATGTTTCAACTTCTTCTATTTCTAAAGTAATTTGATCTGATGAGTCTTTGCTAGAGTCCTTTGATTTATCAATGTTTGATTTTTTCTTTTTAGGCTGGATTGAAGTTTCTTCAATATGATTTGTAGGATTCTTCATGATAATATCAGTTGATTCGATTAACTCAGATTCTCGCTTTTTTGACTTTTTTGACTTCTTCAATTCTGTGGCCATTGATGGCAAGGTTGATAAAAAAATGTTTGATGAGCTTACCAAAAAAATGAAGTGTTGATTTTTTTTTGCCTTCGAAATCGAGGACGACTTGCGGTACAGTACTGAGCGCATCTACCGTTGACACCGTTGGATTCGGCCGGGTCGGGTCTGGCTGGGTCATCCCTCCTGCGGGGCCTCAAGTGCACAAGGTGAACTTGTAAGCCTCACTCTGGCTCACTCCATCAAAAGCGGCGTTGAGCTGAGCCTGCGAGCAAGGTTGGCTAAGTTCATTCAAGATTCGAAGCGCTGCAAAAGGTATGCAGTTGGAAATTGACCCATCCATCACATTCTAAGAAATCAGCTCATCATCTTTCTTCGCTGTTAAATACCGCTTTTTCTGAACGTACATGCATTCTTGTGAGCCTTTTCACGGCACTTTTAAGTAAGAGTGAAGTCAAAAGATGAAAGTCCCAAAAGAGCAAGCTGAAGATTCAAAATTAGAACAAAAGGGCACATGAGAGAAGACCCGATCTTTGATTGCGACCAAGAGCCACGGCCAGGAGAGCTACTTGTGCGGTAAATTGATTATACACGGCGGCACAGTTGCCGGGATGAACTTGGGGTACAGGCTTCCCCAAGTATAGTTTCCCTATATAGCTTAACATAAGCCCCACCAATCGCAGACATCGCCCGGAGCCGTCCCCCGGAGCCTGCAATGAGGAGGGACATATCTATATAGTCAAGTTGGGAATGGGACATTGAGAAACGAGGGTAGGTATCAAACAATCAGATCCGTCTTTGAACCAAAACGGCTCCATTTTACACACCTTCACACTGAACCATGTGCCACATATATTAGGAAAGGAGAGGACTTTATATTTCAGCTGAATAGAAGCCTACCTTGGCGGGTGACAGTGGGGTGGGTACCTTTTCTATCAATGCAGAATCGAGGAACTTCGACAACCAATGTAAACAAATTCTCCGAGTCCTTCTCCCCCAAGATGTCCTTGGATGTGGGTAGCTTGAATCACCCTGAAGTACTGGGGTAGTTTTTTGTGCACAATATGGAGCTTGTTCGTCACTACATCGGCCTGTCTTGGATCTCCTTAAGACTATTTCACTACACCGGCAACTATTCGCGGCGACATGCCAGCTTCTCGCATAGATCAATGTGAAAAAAATAAAGTTGGACGGTGTGAGCCAAAATCCTGAACTCTCGATCAGGCTCTCAATGTTTTTGGCGCCCTATGAGCACATTTACTTCATACCCTCCCTGAAAAATTGATGTACCCGGCGTCACGTTGAATCTGCATGCAGTCACACATGGCTCGCTTTTAAGATCGACCAGACATCTCGAAAACCACACCAAACACCCATCATTCGAGGCACACTGGCCGAGCGGCTGAGTGCGAGTTGACGGCGTGTCATTCATGATATCCATCGCTTCCGAAGTAGTGGATGAGTGATGTAATTGATTTGGGATGGATGCAGTCATCGATCCCGTTGGATTATCCTTGTGATTGCTGTGGTCCATTGAAGGGAAATTGTTGATGGATCATAGGATGGTTTGTAGCCAGGAGTATTGTTAACTTTCCGATGTATCTCCTTTCTTGTGCTCTAGACTGACCATGCATACTTGCGCTTTTTTTTGACCCAGGTCCCTGACTTCTGGTGCTTCAATCGAGTACATCGCTGATCGCTCGATATCAAGTTTCCGGATCTCCCCGTACGTTCTTCATCCTCGTAAGCGCTGGTCGTATTCCCCGGTAATCACTCAACGAAACTCTCCTATTCATGACATTACCACTGATGTCTTGTATCTCTTTTCACCTCCTTTTTTTTGTCACCCGCTTGGTTTATATTTTCACTGAGTCTCTTTGAACATTATTTTCTAGTATCGTATATCGTATGTGGCATAACTTCATAAACATCAGTCATCGTGAAGAGTCCTTTTCCAGACCCAGATTGCAAGTCAGTGAAAAATAAAAGTCGCATATCAACTTGTCCATAGCTTGAAATCATCTCTGTATCTCGTGCGGTAAGTCCACATGCTTCCTTCACCAGTCGTCGATCGAGTGGAGGGATCTGGTCGATCGGCATCACACTCCTCAGCGCTAAATGATCTTCATCTACTACCTGCTAACGATTGTCTCTATGTGAAGGATTCCGTGACAGTTCTTAGACGTACGAAGATCCAGCGAAGACATTTAAAACTCCTGCAGGCCTGACCCCAAGACTCATACCCCGCTGCTTATTCGAGAACCTCAGCCTCATTGACTATCAAAATACTAACATCTTAGCGCAAGCATCGTTATTTGCGTTCACCGCCTTGAGATAGGCGCTCTTACACGCTATCTCTAACAGCAGTTATTGGAGCCTCCTAACGCCCGTCCAGATACTTTTAATACGACGTCGTCATCTCCGACTCCAACCCTGTCGAACTGTTTATTTGATTGATTCTACTTAGGAAGTTTGCTGTCCTTCGCCATGCATTCGGAACCGGTTGTCACAGACAACAAAATGCAACTGGACGGCATCCCAGCATCACCGTTCTTCATAGGAAGGTCAAGCGTCCGTAAGGCTCGGAGTGGGCACTTACGTGCTGTTGTCAAAGGATTCTTAGCTCTTTCGGCTGTCTTGCTACTGAGCTCCTTATATCTAAATCGTCAAATTCTCAATCAAACTCTTCGGGCGTTAGCCTCTCAGTCGACAACCGGCTCTCTCGGTACTCTTCATGTCGGTGGCAATGACGTCACTTGGTCAAAACCTTCTATGAGTTTATCAAGATTACTTCGACCAATCTCTGGTGGTCGGAAATTGATTCGAAGGGATGCCGAGAAGACCAGAGCGATGAGCGACGACTCTATCGATGAAGTTTATATGCCTGCTAATGGTGCCATCTCTGCCACTTATTTTGTCAATTGGGCCATCTATGGTCGGAACCACTTCCCGTGGGATTTGCCCTTTGAATCCATCACACACGTTTTTTACGCTTTTGCCAATGTCAGACCTGAAACTGGGGAGATCTACCTATCCGATGGTTGGGCAGACGAGCAGGTTTGTTCGGTTTCATGCTCTTGTATCTATCATCGAATCTCATCATTGACCGTATGCTGATTACCGCCTGAATCGATTCTCTTAGATACATTGGGCTGATCGAGGTGACAGCTGGAATGACCAGGGGAATAACTTGTATGGATGTTTCAAGTAAGCGGACTTTTGAGATTAGACGACCTACCTACAGTGCTTCGAGGTGTATCGCTGATGAAAACGTCACCGATCAATGTCCATTCGCAACAACCTTGTTTTTTGATTTCATTCGAACCATGATAGCCAATTCCGAAAGCTGAAACAGCAACACCGTCATTTGAAGCTTTTGCTCTCGATAGGAGGATGGACTTACAGCTCAAACTTTGCCCCCGCGACCTCGACTCACGAAAAACGACAAACGTTTGCCAAATCAGCCATCGATATCCTAGAAAATTACGGTCTCGATGGTTTAGGTGTGTCTTCACTCTATCTCTATACCACGCCCCGAGATCATAAATGGAGACTGACCGACAAACACCTATCTGCTGAATAAAATAGACATCGACTGGGAGTACCCTACAAGTGACGAAGAGGCAGATCAGATGGTAGAATTACTCAAGACTATTCATCATGGCTTGAGGGAGTTGAAAGAAAAGAAGGATGAAATACATCCCTACCTTTTGACTATCGCAGCAGTAAGTCTGGACATTGATAATTCTGTTCCCTCGGAATCGGATCATCTGATGTACATGTCTGATTCTTGCCTTCTCGCTATCACATCTCTTTCAATAGCCTTGTGGTCCATCACATTACAAACAGTTGCACCTCAAAAAAATGCATAGATACTTATCGTTTATTAACCTAATGGCGTAAGGTTTCTTCATACTTTAACTTTTCGAAGTGTGCTCTGATGATATCTGTCATAAATTTTTACAGTTATGACTATGCTGGTTCTTGGGATACGGTCTCTGGACACCAGGCTAACCTCAAGCGTCCGAGCTCAGAGCCTGTAAATCAAGGCAACTTCTCTACCATTGCCGCCATAGACTACTACCTTGCCCATTCAGTTCCAGCGAAGAAATTGGTGATGGGCATGCCCCTTTACGGCCGTTCGTTTTTGAATACAAAAGGTATCGGCGAGTCTTACAGCGGGGTCGGTCAAGGAACTTGGGAGCAAGGTGTTTACGACTACAAGGCACTACCACCCCCAGGTGCCAAAGTTGTACAGGACACGGAGGCGATAGGAGCATATTCGTATGATTCGGACAAACAAGAGTTGATTACCTTTGATTCACCCAAAACCGTCGAGATGAAAGTCAAATATATCAAATCCAGAAGGATGGGTGGTGTGATGTGGTGGGAAAGTTCAGCGGATAAGAATACCACCGGCCACGCCTTGATCCCGTTAGCAGCATCCCAACTTGGGGAACTTGATAGCACTGAAAACCATTTGAGGTAAGTGTAGAGGAATATCTTCATCGAACCGATATATGGATCTCGGCTCATCTTTTTTACCTGCCCCCAAAATATGTAGATACCCTGACAGTAAGTGGGATAACTTGAAAGACTACAAGCCTCCTGCTCGCCCAACTCATCGTCAAAACCATCGATTTGGCCCGGAACATCAAGCTCATGATTCTCACTTTAAGTTCAAATCAGACAATGGTGATCAGGCTGTACAAGGAAGCTACTAAGTAACAAAAGTAATTTGACTCAACGTCCTATATCCTTCAATTCACTAGACATTATTCACCGTATAGCTTGATCCACTTTTCTGTTTATTGTTTTTTTTTCTTCGTACATGTTTATCCCATAAGTGGTCTTCACAGACACCTAAAAGAGATGACACACATTTATCTTGCGTGAACATCAACTTCCTAGTAACTTCGTACAATATATATCAGGTTTCCACACATTTAATGAAAGACAGAGTAGCTCATGATCAATTCCAGACGAGTGGAATTTGTTATCATAGAAAGATGTGATTACTGATCTCAGTTTTTTGTCATGGACTTACCTATGTAGACGTATGAATTTCCTGTTTATAATTTAACCAATGTGATATCTAGATGAACTATTTCTTCATATTATTCCATCTGGCTTTATTTGACACCGTGTTGTGCGGCCAGGTTGGGACTACACCTAACCTTAAGATAGCAATCAACTTCAAAACAAATGCAGCCGATTTTGCCCTAACAAGGCTAAAAGCTCTGGCTTGAGGTGTCATTTCATCACAAAGAGAATTAAAATGGGAGACCAACAGGACCATGAAAGAGGAGAACAGAGGAGATCTGGGTGATTGTCCCAAAATGCTGGCATTCGGCCCGGCGGTAGCCTTTGCGCCCAGTACTCGAGGCCCACAGGGTCGCCCGGGGCCGGTGGCCAGCTCGTCTCATCGAAAGTTTCATGAAAGTCACCTTCGTCTCCTCCCGTTGGCGCCCCTGGTTTCGAGCGTCGAAGTGAGCAAGATGTCTACTGTGAGAGCAACTATGATGACCTCGATCGGAATCGTCTCAGGCAAGTACAACCGCTTCAAGCAAATTCAGTAGTCATAATGGTTCGATTCGGACACAGGTCTTGATTTCACTGACATGATCGTCCTGTGCTTTGGCTTAAAGTTGGATTCCTTCTTGGACAATACTTGCAGCCGGAATCGTCATCACCGCCAATCGTGGTTCCCCCACCATCAGTCCATCTGGAAGAAAATTACGGAGATCGTCCAACCGCTGAGCTTCAAAAACGCTTAGACAAGTGAGAGACCATTTATCCCCGTATTTATGATTTGCCGTAGTGCGTCGATTTGACGCTTTGTGATTATTCTAAAATTGCGCGCTTTTGGAAGCTTGAAAGCTATGCAACGAAAGTTAGATGCGGAGCGTGCAATTGCACTCAACAAGCTAGTGGAAGTTGATCGAAGGCTTGCGATCGCCTCTCAGTCGTCTGTCTGAACTTGGGATAAAGCTGTGGACCCGTCCTAACCTTCAACTTTGAGCATCAAATCGGCTCTAAGATGCGATGGCTAACGGGATCGACACAGGGTACTCCGAGGTGGGCCATCGGAGATGACGCAAACACAACTTTACAGCGTTCATGTCATAAAGAGGGCTCCAATCGTCCCAGAAATTGGACAACCGCCATCCTAGTTCGCATAAATCTAACGGTAAACCTACAGATGCCAATGTGGAAGGCAGGCTCAATTTTCACACCCAAGTTGGAACAGCATCAAAATTAATTTGGAAGACCCGTCAACATGGTTTCCTCAGTGGAAACACACTTCTAGAGACACCTAATTGTCCCGGTCAATATACATCTTTTAGAATGCCAATTGTCACACTCAGAGTCCAAAATTCAATTTCAGAGCATCTATAATGGTTGCTACATCTTGATCATGGAGTGCTACTTGCGAAAAGTGAAGTACAAAATCTGAAAACATAAAAACTTTTTATCTGTGGCCTACTGTAGTTGAACTTGTGCGGGCTGTTTGGAGAGCTTTTTCCTATGGAAAAGTGCCAAATATGCCTGGTAGTACTTAAGAGGATCAGAGCATGCCCCCAAAAGCTCAGTGTTTCTTTCTCCAGATTTTGATTTTTTCTTACCAAAGAAGGTTCAACGCGGGAAATGTTGTGCCAGAAAAATCCCAAAGCATGATATGAGCCACAAGCACACATCAGCGCTATCTGATGAATTTTGAAGCGTTGTTCATACTATTACTCTGCAAGCTCAAAATTTTTGGGGCTCCTAGATTCTAGCCTATCCATCAGCCAAGGTAAACGTGGACGGTTGTTGGGCCAATCCAGGAATGTGATGAGAAGTATGAAGCTCGCATATGGCTGCCGCGACTTTCTTGCAGATATTCATCATTGTATGGGTTTAGTGAGGACTGGGACGTTGAACAGTCGGTTGAACACATACACACTGTCAATATCCATAGCCATAAGTGTGGCTCTGAGAGTATGGGTTATGTGAGGGTTGATTGGATTTGTAGATTTCTTGAGAATCGCTACTTCGGCTCAGCCTATTCACCAAAATAATCCCCAACAGTCTCGGCATTGCAGTTTTCAGTTCATCAAGATGGTAGCGTAAGTGAGGATTGTTCAAATTGTTATCGACGTTCTACTTGTTTTATTGACTTTCCATATTCTCCATCCTAACCAATAGCTGTCAGTACTTCGCACGCGGGATGTGTCGAGTATGCTCATTTACTCTAAAAAATCGACTTATCAACCGAACCTCATCCGCTTTGCTTTCTCTCCCCTGCAGTTTGGTAATGGATGCCGTAATGACCACATCGCGAATGGGGATCCACAAAATAGCAAGGATAACCCAAACATACCCAGTCCTGATACTTTTGGACCGTTAGTCTCTCTGTTCCTATTGCATCGATCATTTCTAGCTTATATGTATCTTGATTTTTGCTTTTAAATTGATTTGTGGTCAAACAGTGGATCCAAGAGCATCACAGATGATCTTGTTACCGAGAAACCTATGTACTACCTCTCTGTGTACGCTGCCAACAAATATGGTCCCAACATCATCGATGGAACGGACGTATCTCCCGAGGAATTACGATTCAATGCCTACCAGGCTCGGTCTAGCAACACTATGCCACAATACGTAAGCCCCGGAAATTTCACAGGAATAGATTTTACTTACTGTGACTCACGGAACCGGCGGGATTGTTTCCAAATCAAAAGATCGCTCAAGAGGCTCAGCAATTCCAACAGATGGATTCTGTGATCTCGTCCATCACCAAGAATACCTATACAGCGTACAAACACTTTTATCAGACTCGCATTCCTCTCAATCATCCTACTTCCACCTTTTCTCAAGGCCCTGCTCCAGCCTTTGGTACTCAAACCACTGCTTTTGGAAAATCAGCCTTCGGTACTCAACAGCCTACAGGTTTTGGAGCCTTTGGAGGCGCCTCATCATCTACCGCTGCGACTAGCTTTGGTTTTGGTCAATCTTCGAGCACTCGGCCAGCTGTCACAGCTTTTGGCCAACCTGCAACTGCGTTCGGCACATCCGCATTTGGAGCGACACCTCCTGCACCATCTGCATCCAGTGCTTTTGGGCAACCATCAGCATTTGGAGCATCTACAGCGGTTTCCGCATTCGGTGCTAAGCCAGCCACGTCAGCGTTTGGCACTCAACCCGCCACATCAGCGTTTGGCGCACAACCTACTACATCAGCGTTTGGTAGTCAACCGGCCACGTCAGCGTTTGGTACTCAGCCTACCACATCAGCGTTTGGTACTCAACCTTCTACATCCGCCTTTGGCACTCAACCTACAACCACAGCGTTTGGTAGTCAACCTGCCACATCCGCCTTTGGCACTCAGCCATCGGCCTTCGGTCAACAAAATGCCACATCTACCTTTGGGAGCTCTAACTTCGGTGCCACTGCATTTGGTGGTGGTGCCACTCAGCCAGTATCTGCATCCGCTGTTCAAGCCCCGTCGGCGTTTGGATCCACATCAACTCCGGCGACCACGAATAACGCAGCAGTCTCTGCCTTTGGTCAATCACAGCCTGCTTCGGCCTTTGGGCAAACAGCGGCCTTTGGACAGCCTTCTGCGTTTGGTCAATCAGCTTTTGGAAAACCGGCTGCATTTGGTGCCACGAACCCATCCGCTCCAACATCCTCATCTGCCTTTGGACAGTCGGCCTTCGGGCAGACTTCGGCGTTTGGGCAATCCGCCTTTGGTGGCAGTACTCAGGCCCAGGCCAATCCTCCTGCCAACTCATCTACGGCAACGTCCAACAGCGCTCTACCGCAGCCAACAAGTGGGTTTGCAGCCTTTGCGAACAATGCACCGGCTGGGGCTAGCTTTGCATCTGCTACGCCACCTGCACAACCGTCAGCTTTTGCCGCAAAACCAGCAGTCTCAGCATTTGGACAGTCTTCAACGTTTGGACAGTCTTCAGCATTTGGAACTGCGAATGCTGAAGCTTCGGGCTTTCGTTCTGCTAGCAATCCAACATCAGTTTCAGCATTCGGAAGTGGAGTAACTCAACCTTCCACGGCGGATCTGAACTTATTGAAATCAAAAGATCCCTGGTGGGAACAAGCGCCAAAGGAATCTGATTTGAGCCCTGAATTCCTGGCTGCATTCAAGGCACAATCTTTCACTTGGGACTGTATCCCATCTGTCCCACCTCCCATCACTTTGAGATAAACACTTCTGTGTGGTTTTTCCTCTTATGTTTTTTAGGAAAAGCATTGTAATATATCATGTGTATGTTTTTTCTTGAGCTTCTGGGATGTATGGGACACTTGTACAATTATTTTGCTTGAACGTCTTATGAACCTTGACTACTATTCTTTGCTTATAAAATATTCTTTTATTGAAACTTGAGCTCGTGACTAGCATGAGGAAAAATACCTCAACCTTTGTTCATATAAATCACTCCTCAAGATAGTAAGAAAGCACTTCAAAATGGCACAAGGCCTTGTGCAATGTGTTCTAGATCAGATGGTATTCAGAATTGATTCAGTTCAACTTTATCTGTATTGTTGCTACTGCATTGTTAAGCTCTGTTGAGACGTTTCTTTTGATTTTCAATGTTCTCATAAGTGAAGATTAAGAAAGACGTGCTGGTTCAAATGATAAAGTGATAGTTGCAGAGCGGAAATAGTAAACATTATGTTTGTCTTTGATTAGCACGATGCGGTTTCCCTTCATTTACCCAGGATATGAATGACTTAGAACGAAGCAGGAGGGGCAAAATTTGTATCTATGGGATTTGTGGTTCCAAACTTCTGGAAAGAATGATGGCTTAAACAATCTGTTGTCTATCTTGTCCACAATCCTCACGTTGATCATCAGACTCAGATGAATGGATGAGTCAAAGATGTGAAAAAGCATAGGAATTGAATTCAGCTAGTCAAAGATCTGCTCAAACACCTTGGACGAATCCTCTAAGACCATTCCAGTGCTCGGGCAACACACGAGCTTTGTCAGCTTTTTCATCGTACATTTTCTCATGTTGATGAGGGAAAAAGCGTCCCATGCTCAAAACGCACATAACACTTGGTACGTCTCCGACTCGCTTGGTGCCCGGAAGATCAAGTCAACTCTAGTTTTTCTCCATTTGGTGATGGATTGGATTCGAATGTTCTTGTGACGTAATCGTGTTGGATGCCGTTTTTCGGCGCCCAATTTGTTCCATTTCATTGAACTTCCTTTCCCAAAGCCTATTCGGTCATTTTCAAAAGGTCAACATAACCCAGTCGAATGGATGTGGGTTGCACTGCTTCTCAGCGATATATATATCAGTACGATATCCTCAACTTTACGCAATTATTTGCAACGATGTCTCAATCTCTTTCAGTCAAATCCCTCAGTGGATCTTCTCTATACACCATTCTAAGCTAGCAACTTTTAAAGATTCCACCTTTTACCTGTGGGAAAGATCATGTTCAATGTACCTTCTAATTCGATTCATCGTCCTAGTTATGATGAAGTGAACTTTTCGGCGCCTTCTTATCCTCCTCAAAACCAAACGATACCCCAGTTGACTAGTCTCAAATCTGCGAGATCGAGCAATGAAGATCTTGCATCTAAAGAACCAACTGACCTTGAAGAAACAGAATCTCTTAGTAAACTTCAAAGATTCCGAAATAAGTTTAGTGATTGATCTTGAGCGCTTCTTTGGTGCAAAAGGGATTGCTTTGGAAATTGATGTTGTACCTTTGCGAGAGGGTTTAAAACAAATACTGATGTTGGAATCTTCTTGTTGTTTTTTTAAATCATAAAAACACAGATTCTTCAGTACTAGTCGAATAAAGTCGTATTTGATTACGATTTCAATCATTGCAATGATTACCCTTATGATTGGTAAATCGATTTTACCTTACATTTTTTTGCCTTATTCCTTTGATCTTTGTTTTCCTCTACAAAAAAAAACTTTCAAGATCACTTATTTCAATTGTCCTTGCTTCTAATTCTTTTCTTTGACAGTTTATCAACGTCAAATTATCATAGCTTTGACACCTTTTTCACAAGATTTACGGGAATTGAAAATAGGAAATTTTAAAATAGGCTGGATTGTACCTATCATAATTTTGATTATAATTTCTTTTCCACCTTTATTTGGACACGAAGTAAGTAACTATCAACATTTTCCAATGTATCGAAGTCTCCTTTGTTAGAAAAGCAAGTTCCTGATAAAGTTTTTCTTTGTTAACTAGATCGTCGTTTTAATATGTGGTTTGGTTTGGGGACTTTGGTGGGGTTTTGCCATAGTTTCAGTTGGAACATATTTGGGAGAATTAGCGAATTTTTTCGTTTTCAGATATGCTTGCAGGGAGCGTGCTGTAAAATACAAAGAAAAGAATTTGAGGTTTGATACTTTGAGTTTAGTCATCAGGGACGGTGGATTTTGGGTCAGTTTTGTTTTTTACAAGGGGAAAACGATCTCTCGAATATTTTGAAGACATCATGTTGATTTTGATTTGTTTGATTCATAGATTGCACTCATAGCTAGACTTTCAGCAATTCCAAGTCATCTTTTAACTCCAGTCTTTGCCACAAGTGGTATGAATGTTTGGATCTTTTCAGCTGCCACAATCCTTTCATCACCAAAACAATTTTCACAAGTTTATTTAGGTACACTTTTTCAAGTTCAAACAGTGAAAAAACCTGACTCAGGAAAATTAGTAGAAGCTTTTATTTTTATTTCATCTGGTTTAGTCACTATTGGAGCTGCTGCTTATATTTATTGGAAAATGAAAAAAATGAAAGTAGTGGTTTTGGAAGATAGAATGAAATCTCAAATGTCTGATGGCACTTTGGCTGATGATCAATCTGGTAGAGTTGACCCATCTGTTGGTAAGTGAACCAAATAATTCCTTCTATTTATCATTTTGATCAATTTGGATACTAATGGATGACCCTGCCCCAATCCTCCCCCTTCTACAGTAATCTACCCAAGACTTGTGTCAAATGGTGTTGAGTTTGGCAGTACGCTGAAGCTTCAGGGAAGTGACAGTGAAAAGATGGAATGGAATCAAAAGGATCAATGAGTATCTGGCTACCTAGATGTGTACCTCAAACAGCCAAGATCCTTTTTTTGATATTGTTATAACCCTATACTGGAACTTATAGCGAGTTTTGTCTCTAGCTCTAGATAGGTGCACCTACCACTCGTTGTATCCTCACATTGCAATCTTAGTTTTATTATAGAAGCACCTCTGATCTATAATCACCTGAAGCCCACAACAAACACCTACAAATGTACAGATTTTGTTTCTATTCGACTTTCAAATGTTTAAATACCATATAATACACTCTTTGTCATTTTCATCTTAAATCTCATTCATATACAGCCGTTTCAACAAAGATTGATCTTTTTGAAAATCTCATCACGGTGCAAAACCTGGGTTTTGTCTCTCAATTGGTTTTTGTCTCTGCTAATCTGGAGAATACAGAACAAATAAACCCTATAAACAAGACTTTTGTCTGGTTTTGTTCGCTACGGTAACAACCTTCTTGAAAAAAAGTGAAGGAAGAAATAGTAAATAGGGTGAATAAATTAAAAATGAAGCATTGTATCATTTCTTACTGACAGTAACATTGCCTGTTTGATGGCACATTGAAGGCCGCACATGCAATGATTTTCCATTTTGTTTGGCTTTGGAACTGCCTGCGGGTTGTGGCATACAGAAAAAAGCAAAAGTCTGCTAGACCCCACAGTCAGATACTTTTTCCTTGAAAGGTTGGGTGTCTGGTGAGGGAGTAGCAACTCCAAGGGGAGAATGAGTGTGCAACAAGTCATTCATTGAACAGCCAAAAACAGGGCAGCAGTATTGAAGTTGGTCATATCTTCAGCCAAGAAGTCCCTCTCTGGGATACAAATATCAACTTTTGATTGGTATTGACTTAATAGTCAAGATCATAGTAACCAAATCCAAAGTGACTACTCGAATCAATTTTTCAAAATCAAAGAATCTTATTCATTTTTACTCCTCAGTTCACTTTACATTTGATCAATCAACTTTTCATTCCCTCATCATAACGGGCAATGAATACAAAACACAGAAATCCTCAAACCAAACAAAAAAAGAAGAAACAACAGATCTGTTAATTTTTTTTTCGATATCATAAAACGCTTCAGAGGAGTTAGCCACTACTTCATCTTAAACCCTTCACTCTTTATAGCAAGTCTCTACAGGGATCTTAATAATTACACATGACACACCATCTACTCAATCCGATTTAATTTAAACGCAACTACATTTAACCACTAAGGAGACCTACTATGAAAAGCAAATCATGGATGTAGTCAGTTTGGATGAGATAGAATTGCTATAACATCTCAAAACTCAATATTGAAGACAAGTATTCAAACAATAACTTACGATACATAACAAACCTCGCAAAACCATCCTTATCCAGATTCCTCATTTTTGATGATCGGCGGCAGTGATTCATTACCAAACAAATGTGCTTTTTCAACTTCAGCCGCAGCTGCCGCAATCAAAGCCATCTCAGCATCTGCAATTCTAGCTCTTTCAACCCCAAGGATTTCTTCTTCTGCAATTCTGATCCGTTCTTGTTCCATTGCAGCAACTCGATCAGGATTTCCAGTTGAACCATTGACACCCGAACTCGATTCACCTTGATCAAATTGCATTCGATCATCATCTGCTGGATTATGTGCCTTACACGCTTCCTGAAGTGCAGCGTGAAGGGCACTTTCAACGAGGTCATCTGCAATTAGACCATTGTTAGAAGTCTCGCCGTGTGTAGAAGTACTGATACTCGGTCGATGCTGTTGAAGGTCAGACCAGACGTTTGGTAGTGCATAGTTTTGATCGATGGTAGGGTCGTATTGTGGGGCTAGTTGGGTTGATGGAGTTGATGCTCCTGGCATCTGAAAGAGTGGATGTAGATGCAGATTGTGATTGGTCTGAATCGAAGGGGTTTGTTGAGGTTGTTGAAACTGGTGTTGAAAAGTGTTGGTAAGTTCCATGATAGAGAAGGCCGCTGAATGATCCGCGGCGTTCAACTCAGTCGAACGCAAGTTGGATGGCTCAGGTCGAGGTTGGAGTTGAGACCGAGGACGGGCCTGGGTTGCGGTTCGAGGTGGGGGTATGACTTGTTGGGGGGTTAACGGCTCAAGCCTAGCCTCTCCGCGTTCGTCTTCTCGGCGTCGACGCATGTATTCTCGCAACTTCAATCTGCGAGCTTTTTCTTTTTCTGGCATGTCTCGTTCTCGTTCTGCAATCCTACCGGCATGTAGAGCTCGCAATTTGAGCGATTTGAGTTGATTTTTGGTCGCATTTGGATGATCTCGTTCGATTTGCGCTTCTATGGAGCTCTGTTCAGGAGTTTTAACTCGTGAATAATATTTCCGACGTGGTTCAGATCCAGTGGGATTGTCAAGAGAGGCTCTCTTGCGTTTGCTGGAGTCAGCTTGACTAGTCGTGGGAGCTGAAGCGGGAGGACCCATGTGCAGCACCAGATTTCGCTGCGGGGTGCTAAGCGCAGGATCCTGCCACTCAGGGATAGGCACAGCAGCCGGTTTGGATGGTCCTACCGACGAACGCGTTTCTGTGCCTATCGGTCGAGAAAACCTCGTTAGAAAGCTCGCATACAACTTCACATAATTGAAAACTGACCAGTTGGACGAGATGTGGCGGGCACAGCGAATAATTTAGGGTCACGGCTTTGCGCAACGAGATTAGCATCGACAGGAAAGTTGGCCGGCTTGTCTTTGGTCTCAGTTTTGGGCCCGTCACCGCTCGTGAGGGTCGGGGCCTTTGCTTTTTCTGCCCGTTCTTCTTCACGCTTGTGCCTCACATACTCTCTCAATCTTAGCCGCCTAGTCTTCTCTTCCTCTGACATCCCAAGCTCGCGTTCAGCTATGCGGCCAGCATGTAAGGCGCGTAATTTCAGTGACCTCAATTGATTTTTCGTCGCATTGGGATTTTGTTGCTCAATTAATGCTTCGGCAGCCAATTGTTCTGGTGGTTTGATGCGTACTGATGGCTTTCTCGGAGTAATACGCTCAGATGAGCCGCGTTTTCGTCTGTTACTTGATGGCTCCTTATTCGAGGGGGTGGCGCTAGAAGTGCGAGCCCGAATCCCATTGGTGACCATACGTGCTTCGCTGATTGGAGTCATAGAACCTTCAGAGGGAGCGCTGGCTTGAGCAAAAAGACTAGAAAGTGATTGCCCTGGTTGATTTTGTGATGCGGCGTCAGCAAAACGAGGATCGACGTCTGAAGAGCCTTCGTCCTCTTCGTGCGGAGCGTCTTCGTCCGGGTTAGAATTGGCTTTCAGTTGCGAAGGGACCGGAATGTCCGAGGCCATCGCATGAGGAGTGCCACCATCCGACTTGGGTGCGATTGCAACTGTAAAGCGATTGATAGCCGCTAGAAAAGCATTACTGGCAGAGGAAAGAAAGTTCGGAGTAGTCGTATCAGAGTCAGATGGATTTGGAGCTGGCATAGCAAAATCTAAAGCTGGGTCGAGGATACTCGAGTCAATAGGAAATGAATTCTGATTGACATCGACATTGGTTTCAGGGTTAGCATTGGTGGAGAGAAGATGATCGGTAGCTGTTTGGCGATCTTCAGTCGACATGTCCATGTCCATGTGAATGAGTTGGTTGTGTTAAAACAACAAGGCTGACTGTGTAAACTGATGCTGTGTAGGGTGACATTGAGAAGAAGAAAATAAGGTTTAAGATCAAGTTGGGAATCAAGTTAGCACGCCACATTCGATGACATCAGATATAACAGTCAAAAGAAGACTGATGGATTAAATGTAAGGGAAGTTAAAGTCATCAAGTTAAATGGTCAAGATCCAAGAAGAAGTTCAACAAAACGGATCTGGTCACCAAAGTTAAAAAGTGGTAAACAGTGATGGATGATATCATAATTCCGAAAAGTGGTGATGATGAAGCCAGTTTGGTTGAGTCTGTGGTAGGATGAAAAAGGTAATGAGGACCGACCTTGAAGAGTTGTGTATGATCGATTACAGTCCTCAATGAGACTATGTCTGTTTGTCTGACTGTAGTTGACTGTTGTTGTTGTATACAAATCTGTAGAGCTACAGGATGCTGAAAAGTGGATGTGGAGTTGAAATCGTAAGTAGAAAAGAGACAGGATGAAAGGAGAGTGTTGTGTGTAGTAAATAGTAAATAGACAAGTGTAACGATCAAGTTAGCTTTTCATCGATTCGTCAATTCTTTCGAAATAAACCACTTCAACTTTCAGATCACTCACCTGAACCTATTCTTTAAAGGAAGTCCTTGCTTTGAATGATATTTCGATACGAACGACTGATGACTTTAATTCTGTTTGCTTTCCTTTCTTCAGCTCCACCGCCGGATTTTTGGATAGAGCTGAGGAAGGCTTAAGCCTTGGGGTGTTAAGGATAAAACTCGGTATAAGCATCAAGCTATTACGTGTCTCACACTAGTGACTACATACACTTTCCTCTCCACGTGATGTGAATTTGATCGTAGATCCGTATCCGCCCGAGGTTTGCGATCGGGCCAATCTGGGCCCTTCTAATTCCACCCGCATTCTTTGCCTGCAGGCATCCTGATTCCTTGAGCAACGACGAGTGTTCAACCTCTCAACTTGATCATTACTGTGAAGGTGGACTACATATTGGACTGTGCAAGGTATTTCTTTGCGTCTCATACTTTTTCAAATCAACCTATTGGAAAAGAAAACATTCCAAGATCAAATTGTTTGTACATCAATGTTAAGAGGCTGATAATTTCCAAAAATTTATCCACAATGACTTCAACAAACTACTTAGTACAAGCAAACTAATAAGATATAGATAAACAAATCGCAAAAAAGAACCCAAATCAGTATTGTTGAAGAGTTTGACATGACTTCTCCGAGTCATTTGCAATAAATTCAGACCTTGATACCATTCAAGGGAAAAAATGTTAATCGTACTTCTGGGTATAAAAATGTACAGTAAAAGATGAAGATTTTACAAGCCATGAAGATAAAGATAAGATGAGTACCTCAATTACATAAATTTACGTTCTTTATTTATAACACGCTGGAATTTGAACCCATCACATCAATTTATACCGCTCAGGCATTCGATGTTCGACTGCTTCTCCTTAGTCGACCAGACCTAGTGAGAACTGGGGAATCTTCGTGGTTTACTGGCTCTTCAACCACTCCTCGGAAACTTGTTTCGCCATCTGATTCGTCATCAGCTTCTGTCAAATCCTCTCCACTGTCATCACCTTCATCATTTTCCTGAGAGGACCGATGTTCCTCATCATCACTCCCAATATTAATGTCCATATCCATAGCTTCATCATGCGCTTTTTCAGCCTCCGTAAGATCATTGGGGTTCTCAGCCTCTTCCCCTCCTACCAAGCCTTCACGCTCTTCCATAGATCTTAGACGACTGGAGCGCGTGGTGCGCAAGATGGGGCGGTTAACTGGCTGCTGCGTAGATGTTGATGGCTGCTTGTCTTCTCCATCCACCTGTGTCATTGGTTCAACCTCCGCCTCCCCGTCTTCAGATATCTCGATATTCGATTTAGCAAATTCAAATGCAGCCACTATCTCATCACGTTTGACTTTGTTCAGAACGAACGCATCGGAACATAGCAGTCTATCAAGTTCCTCGCACTCTCCCAAGTATCGGGCATATTGTCTCTGCACCCATTGCCTAGATCACATGAAGAGAGCCGCATACATCAGAACAAAGGAATATAGATCTACTATGACAATAGCAAAGATAGATGACGAGAAGCTACATACCAACTGCGTGTAGTTTCAAAGAACATGACGAGGATTGAATTGTCACTCTTCGGATGTTTTGTCAACCTGTCCAATACTTTTTGTGGTATCTGTGTGTCGGTTGACAAACCCACCTCACCCGGGAACCAATTATGACCGGGAACCTTTGCCTATTGACAAGCCCACAAGAATTAGACTACCTTGCAAGAATCACATGGAAAAGGCATACTTACCCAAACAAGAGTACCATCCGGAACCGGGCCTTCCTTGAGACGAGTTATTCGACTGAGTCGTGAGAATGCTCTACCAGCTAGATGATGAATACCATTCTTGTTAGCGTTATGAGAAGCTCTTGGATAGATGTAAAATCCGCGTTCATCCACTGGAAGATCTTTTTCTTCTCCCTTATAACGTTTATTGTTCTGAGAACTTTTGTTCGACGTTGTTCGTTTGGAAGGTTTGTTGATTGGTTGACTGGATGCGCGAGTAATTTGAGACCGCGTTGTAGCAGTTGTAGGATCGAGAGACAGTATGGGATCGCTCAGGTCGATCGCGTCTGGAACAGTCGACGGTACTACAACTTGGCTGGCCTCAGCACTGGAATTGACAATGGGTTGAGTAGAATCTGGTGATGGGGCTTCAGAAAGGTCACTACTTCCTTCCTCAGTGACTAGAGAATCGGCGAGGGAATTGATCCCTTGTTCTCCGAGCCGACCGGCCTGCAACTGTGTGCCCAAAATCAACGGACCGTTAGGGGCTCGAGTTTCATCGAGTGAGTGGGAAGTACGATGTTTGGTATTTTCTAGGCCAAATTCGCGCGGCCTATGGGTCAAAGCGGGGCGTTGCTGTCTTGCGGAAGGCGAATCGGGCCGTACGCCTGGGTCCGATATTCTGCCTTTGCGGCGCTTGCTATGTCTTAAAGCCGGTGAGCCGGGCGGCTCTACGGTGGCTAATTAACACAGAGAACAAAATTGTCAGCATGCTTACGTTTGGATAGTAAACTCAACTGAACACTTACAGCGACGGGATGAAGGACCAGCATCGTGTACAGATGAATCGTAGTGGGTAGTGGAGGGTGTAGCGCCGTGTCGTCGAGTCCCCTCAGGCAGGATATATCCCGTGTTGAATAATCTGAACGAATCTCTCTCATCCGGCAGATCAGTGACGAATTCGGGCTGACCGAACAGTCCCGCTATACTTTTCGTAGACTTAGATTTCTGCTTTTCTTGTTCCGACCGACTGGGTCGCATCGCCGTATGGTGTGCTGGTGCGCTGGCATTTCCCTCAGGGAGATCACTGCGTTCCTGAGGGTCTCGATCCTTCAAACTTCGATCAAGTCTCAACCTCAACTTCTGAATCGTAGGCTGGGTGCCACCATTTGGGCATGTTTGGGGTGGGTCAGAATGAGGAGGTTGTAAAGTGGTAGATGATTCGACAGTTTGCTTCTTGGGCGCCAGCTGTTTCACTCGGATCCTGCTTTTCTTCTTGACACGACGCGAATCCCTTGTCTGCAAGGCCAAATCGGATAGCTCAGCCTCTGCCCGCTGAGGGTCTTCCACCGGCATTGAGGATGCAGATTGCGCGGCTATTTCTGGGTTTATGAGTGGTAGATCTGTTGACGTTGAATCCACAGGAACATTCTCTGCGTCGATTGTTGATACATTCATTGGCGATTCGAAAGGATCTTTTATCTCGAGTGTCGATGGATCTTGTTCGCTTTGAGCGATGACAGGACCTTCTTCAGGTTCCACAGGAGACAGTGCATCAAGTGCTTCAGGGGTCTCTTCAACTGTGTCATCCACCAAATTGGCTTCCTCTACGTTGACAACTCGTGGCTCCTCGGCCATCGGCGGTTGGACTGCGCCCTTTTGCATATCGGCAACTGCGACCAGCTCTAAAGTCTCTTCGACGTGACTGACGATGGTTGGCTCGTCTTCACCAGTCTCAGCATCCATTGGAGGCTTTTCGAGCCCACTCGCGGGTCGAGTTTCTTCATCTTCGACTGAGATTCGAGCCCGTTCAGCCTCTGCAGCCATCTGTGTCTCCTTAGCCTCGTTAGCAGTCCGAGGGTGCTCGGCTTCAGCTCCTTGTACAGCTTTCCCAATTTTAGCTATTGGGATCGTCTCATCAATTTGAGCTACTGGGATGGCCTCGTCACGCGAAGGTACTGGGATCGCGTCCTCAACTTGAGATGGTGGGTTCGCCTCGTCAAGAGCTCCTTGTATAGCCTCGTCAAGAGAAGCTCCTTGGATCGCGTCCTCAACTTGAACTACTGGAATCGCCTCGTCAATTTGACCTACTGGACTCGCCTCGTCAAGAACTCCTTGTATAGCCTCCTCGAGTGAAGATCGTGGGATTGCGTCCTCGACTTGAGCTACTGGATTCGCCTCGTCAAGAGGTACTTGGATAGCCTCCTCAAGGGAAGCTTCCGGCATGGCGTCCTCAACTTCCGCTGCTGGGTTCGGCTCGTCAATTTGAGTTGCCGGGACCGCCTCGTCAAGAGCTACATGTATAGCATCCTCAAGTGAAGATCGCGGGATTGCGTCCTCAACTTGAGATACTGGGTTCGTCTCCCCAAGAGCTACTTGTATAGCCTTCTCAAGTGAAGCTCGCGGGATCGCCTCTTCAACTTCAGCTGTTGAGATGGTCTCCTCGTGGGCTACTTGTATAGCCTCTTCAGTTTGAGCTCCTTGAATAGCCTCCTCAGCTTCAGCAATTCTAGCGTTTTCAGACTCCCTGACCGCGCGAGCTATATCTTCTTCTTTCTGTGTAGTCTCACTCATCATTAACATCCGGTCGTCTTCAGTTTCTTCGACGATCATACCCTCAGGCCTTACATCTTCAGTAACCCGTTGTTGTAAATCTGATTCCATCCAACGACGATAATAAGTTTGTGCCCAGATTTCGAGTTGTTGCAGTTGTTCTGCCTCAGTCGGTTCAGCTTCAGGATGCAATGCAGAATTTGAGGAGCCGGTCTGACCCATGTCAAATTGGGTACTATCGAAGGTTCGGTAAGGTGTGAGATGCATCGGTTGGGTAAAATCTATGGGATCAAGTGGTGTGGTATATTTCCATGGCGCATCCGTCCAAGTGTTTTCTACCATCGAGGGATGTAAAGCCTCCATTCCGTATTGGTCTTGCGGGTATAGTGAGAGATCAGTTTGGACTGCAGGAGCTGCTCGAGCTTGTTCTTCTTCTCGTTGGGCTTGTTCAGCTTCTAGAAATATTCGTTCACTGATTTCCAGGTCAGCTTGGTCAGTTGCAACGATGGCGGCCACTTGTTCATCATCCCAGCCAGCGAGTTCTTCATCGATAGCCGGTGTCGTTTCGCTCTCCTTCACCCCTTCATTCACATTTGAAGAGACCTCGGATCTCCGCAAGGCTCTAACGCCAGTCGGTAGACAGCCTCCAATATCTTCGTCAGCTATGCCAATCAAAAATGGTGGCTCGCCTTGCTCAGCCCGTGTGGATTCACGCTTATCCCGAATGTACTGGCGTAATTTGTGCCGTCGAGTTTTTTCTGCTTCACTCATGTCCTTTTCCCGGTCCGCTATCCTAACTGCGTGCAAAGCACGAAGTTTCAATGATCTTCGCTGACCCGGGGTAGCATTAGGATAATGCGCATCTATCGCAGCCTCTTCTTCCAATTGCTCAGGAGGCTTGACTCGGTTGTACTGCTTCTTGACAGCAGGAGCTGCTGTGTCAGCTGATGATCGCCGACGTCTCTTGGCCGCGGGCTTTGAGTTGCTACTGGGAGTCGTCGGTGTACGATTAGGTGTTTCACACACGACTGAGGTTCGGCGAGATGCGCCTGCCGCTCCCGATGAAGCTTTAGAGTTCTTACGCGAGCGTGGAGTTGGTCTCCCCTTTGCCGCTTTCGCGGTGTCGATTATCGATACTGAAGGTGTAGTCGTGTTAGTCATTGAGGATGATCCGACCGTAGCTATCGTATTGCCAGTAACCAACTGGTCAGCAGAAGAGGTGACAAGATTGAGTCTCGCTGGCTTCTTTGGCGCGCATCGAGGAGGAGGTGCTGCGATAATAGCGGCTTGCTTTATGAGAGCAGCCTTTTCACGCTTCTCCCGCTTAGCATTTCTACCTTCGAGTAGTTCCTCGTAAGTTCTCTTGGGAGAAGGCGCGCATTGGACCTCTTGTACCGAGCCAAATAACGATTGTATTGTCTCAGGTGTGAAGAGTAGAGGGAACTGGAGAAAATGCAGTGACTGTAGGGGGTCTGGAAACCGGCTACTGCTTGAAGTCGGAATGGGAGACAGATGTTGGGATGCCGATAGTTCGGCTATGATGGGCTGCAGCACCCGTTCAACTCTAAGAGCGGCTTTGTGATAAGTCGTGGTAGGCTTATTATAGATCTTGGAGTTGATGATAGGAAGCTGGAGATCCGCCTGTTGGAGAATTGGAGTCAGTCAATCTTAGCTTTGATGTTGAGAGCCAAGGAAGCTGAAGTGATCGATTTAAGGTCACAGTGGCACTAACAATAAAATCAGGAATAGAAGCATATTGGTATTGATCAAGTCGATTTCTGATGGTAGTCCAATCCATCGGTTTCTTTATGATATCGTGATAATCGGGTACATCAGTCGGTGCGACGGGATTCAAAAAGTATTTTTGCTTGTCGGCACTGGGGAGCGCCAACATTAAGATTATGAAGCATAAGTCCACGTGAGGCTGATGAGGAGATAGCGATAAACCCACTCAATAGCTGCGCTCAGTGCCCTGTGCAAGCTCGGATATTGGGGATAGATAATCTTCTCTAGAACCTCCTTTTGCAACTCGGTCCTCATCACCTTCACCTTCTCGCGTTTACATACTACACTGACGAGATTCTTGACGTGTTGTAAATCTTGCCGAATGCGCACGAGTAAGTCGTATTTCCGCCGCCGGTCTACTTCATCCTGTGGGCTAGTCGGATTCGCTGCTGTCCATGGCTAAAAGACGACGACGCGGCACAAAGGTTACAATAAATGAGTAATCTTGAAACATATCCCGATTTCCCTGACTATAGCATAGTGAGATTTATGATTACCTCGACATGAAGTCTTTTCAAAAGCGGAGCTCCTCTCCTAGCTTCTCGTTTCAAGCTCCAGTACCTGCATACCAAGGTGATGATCGCCTTCTTGTACTGGCATCTTAGCTTATTGCAATACTCAACCACTCTTTGAAAAATGTACTCTGGTACAAGTGGTGGGCCGCTGGAATACGTTTTCCTATACGCTCGTGCAGACTTGTATGATTGTGATCCAGTTGCCAATTGCTTCAGCGCGCGTAAATCGTCGACTGAGGTGAATTTCTTCGGGGTCAAGGTCAAGAGATAATCCATGGAAGGCCCATCTTCCGCGTTTTCTTCTTTGGACTGGTTATTAACCTCATTTTTCAAGGCTGCGGATCTGGCCTGCGCGGCGCCTTGAAGAGCTTCGATGTGACCTTTCTGTTCCAGTGAAATCCGCCAAACTACGTGAGCTTAGTGACGCGACAATGCTGATCTTTGAGGTGGAAGCAAGAATATAGAGATAGATCAATAAAGCTGACGGGAGTATGTTTGTCACAAAAACTGCGAGTGTGACCAGAACCTTCACCCGCTGCTGGAGCTCCAGCGGTCTGACCCGAGTTCGGCGGCGAGTCGGCGAGTGCGTTGGAAGTTGTAGTTGTTGGGACTGGCCCAGAAGGCTTCATCTTTAGATATAAACCGGATTCTTGAGCACAGGTTACATGGTAGGCCACAAAACAATTGCGGCTTGAGCATTGAATGCACGCTCCTGTAGTCTGTTTGCAGATATAACATTTCTGTTGCACGGATGATGAGATGATGCGTCAAAAGGTGTCAAATTTAGATTCGGACACTTCGAGTGAATCCCAAGTGAGGTTATCCCAATCTTAAACCTCGCTGAAAGAGTATGTGTTGTGTAGGATTTGAGATCAAAACTTACGAGCTTCCATCGTTGCTTCGGAATGTTGTGCACTCCATCGATAGGTTCCATGTACATCGCGTTTCCTACACCAGTTTCAGGAATATGAATTGCACAGATAAGATGTGCCCACTCATTTTCAGCCGTTAGCTTGAACGCGCCATATGAATTCGGGCATAGCGTGCATGTCTAAGACGAAGACGATTGACTTGGTGTTAGTGGAGACTGAAGAAGACGAAGTAAGTTATCTGCAAGAGATATACGAACAACAGGTCGATCAGGTGATACGGTACATTTCCTACACAGCCATTGTCCTTCCGGAATGTAAGGAATCCCATAGCAGTCTTGATGTACAGCCAAGTTACAGCCATCGCAGAAGACGATGGCATTGCTGTTTTCAGTATCACCATCTTCACAGATCGCACAACGACTATCTTCAGTTGGAATTGAATTCGCGTCCGGTTTAATCAACTTGCGATTCTGGGTGTAAGATTGGGAGATGAGTGGATATGAGTGGCTCTAATCATCAGGTTAGGAGAGACAAAGCGATCGAACGAGTTGAAACCATTCTTTCTCCAGCCGGTCCATGACTATCTCGAAAAACTCGAAAGGGATCTGATCAAAACCAACGCGTTTTCGGTCGGCATTGAGGCCGGTTAGCCATTCGTGATCTGGAGAGAAACTGATAAGTCTGAGACAAACATAGAAACGATGCTCGAATCGTATGTAGAAACTATACCTTGTTCATCCATATCATACTCGCATCGGCTCTCAAGTTCAGCTTCAGCCGGCTGAACCCATCGAATGTAAGACCCAGGAGGCTATATACCAAAGTGAAATCAAATAGACGGAAAGTCGGTATAGTCGTCAGATCTGAGAATTGCTTGAGAAGACAAACGAACCACCCAAAAAGAGGATGAGTTGTAGCCGTAAGATTGAAGATTCTTCTTGAGATTGTCGGAAGTCGTGTTGCCTGACTGCGAAGAGGTAGACTGATGAGGTACATTGATGATCTTGAAGGCGACTTTCGGGACTTCAAACTTTGGAAGTTCGAGCGGTAGAACAGAATGACCTGAAACGAAACATGCCGTGAGTGAAGGTTTCGATTGAGGAAAGTAAGTGAGTTAAGCTTACCTCCCATTCTAATTCGAGTTGAGATGATAGGGAGAGTGAGTGCTGATGATAAATCGAATGAAGTTCAATGAAAGCTGTTGTGGTGCATACATCTTGTATTGGAACCTGACTTAACCAATAACTGATACAAACCACCATAACTTCAGTCGACTCCCCAACGCATATAGTGGGCAAACCCGAGACCGTGTAACAAGTCGCCCCGCAAAGGTCTGGTGGTCCGAAATTTTTGAGATTTTCGGGTTTTTTTAGCCTGATTTTTTTATTGATTTCACTCCACGTGGCACCACTCTGCAAACATCCACCCCCGGTTATATATATACAACAATTCATCTTAATATCAAAATGGTTGTCTCAGCTGTAAAGAGGGCTCAAAGAGAACGTCGCCAACGTGAGGCAAATCAACGTAATCTGGAAACTTTGGCCGTCAAGAACACCCAGCAAGAGCAACAAGCCCAAAAGACGAATGAAATTCATCAGAAGACTCAGCTTTCCAGCTCTGAACCAATTGAAATCAGTGACTCTGACTCACACGAAGGTCCTTTCGATAATGCTAATGAAGCTGGAGCTTTTGTTGATCCCAACAAATCCACAACACTGCAGACATTATTCGGGTTCCCCAAGTGGGCAGGGAAAAATGATTGGGAGTATGATTTGTCATAAAATGGTCTATCACTCCACACCTGAGCCATAACACCCACACTACATATGTGTAGCAGGCTCAGTGAATATGTGGTTATCATGTACATAGAGTTCTGCTCAGTTATCTGCTCATCAGGACAAGTTATTCATATGTAATACATGCTGTAACTTCTTTCAGATTGAAAAAAGCTTCCAAAAGATTGACTACATACACTGACTCAATGTTTTGGTGTGATCTCATCAACTCAACTGCATGTAACACACTTTCTGTTACTAAGACATAGCTTCAACAATATTGCCTGAGCAGCTACAGAATTATATGTAGTGAATTTTTGGGAAAAAAATTTCAAAGTCGAAAAAGTTACATGTGGTATAACATGTGATTTA